TGGGGAGAGGAGAGGAATGCATATACACTTGTGAAAGTTCCTTGCCGCTAATTTATTCGGTCATGCTCCATGAAAGTGCATCCAATCCGTTTTGCATGCAAGAGCACCTGGAGCACACACGGCGTAATTTCCTCTAATGGCAATCATCTGCTGCTGTTTCCTAGTGCAGTTTTCTGTTCTTCACCCAAGTGTAACACTTTTTCAAGGTCGTTTTTCTCTCCTTTTCGTCTCATGACAGAAAATGTTTATCTTTTGGGTTGGCTTATTTCGATGCAAAACCGCCTCTGACTATGTGAAGTTTTTAATTGCCTCCCAGTAATTATCCTCTTCCTCTTTCGTTTTTTTTCGATTTGATGGAAAAATTGAAATCCCACATGAGACTTCTTGGCCCAGTTTTCCTCACTTTTTATTCCACGTCGATCGAAATCCAGCCGCATTAGTGTTCATAGTAATCTCGATAATGCAGAGACAAAAGCTGAGACGAATTTCGGAACCGAATGGGGAAGATTACTTTTCATTGTCATGAGAAAGCTTATCGTAAAAAATTAGTTGAGCCCTTTTAGTGAGATGTATAATTAGGAAAATCGAGCCATATTTCCAGCCTGCAGATCCGTTCGTTCTATGGAATCTCGGGATGAAAACGGGGTGTGAAGTTTTGTGTTGCATATATAGGCATGGCGAGAACGATCGGTCTTACCATGCTCGTGCAGAGGTCGGGGCAGACGTAATAGGCGTTGCAGCAGCAGGGGTGAGGGATCCTCCTTCCTACGGATGAGGCTGGGCAGGAGGATGGGTCTCCGTCGCAGTTTGAGGGAGCTGTTGTTTCAATGGGGCCCTCCGTCGTGGTTGGGTCTTTCGTCGGGGTCGAGTTGGGGTTCGTGGTCATTGACTCGGTCGGGTGCTCCGTTGTTGTCTCTGTGGGGTGCTCAGTGGTCGTCCCTGTGGGGTGCTCAGTGGTCGTCCCTGTGGGGTGCTCAGTGGTCGTCCCTGTGGGGTGCTCAGTGGTCGTCTCTGTGGGGTGCACAGTGGTCGTTTCCATAGGTTGCTCGGTCGTCGTTGTCGCCGTCGTGGTCATGGTTGTCGTTGTCGTTGCACTCGTCGTTGTCGCTGCCGTCGTCGTTGTCGTTGCCGCCGTCCCCGTCGTTGTCGTAGTAGTAGTAGAAGTAACTTGAGAACAAAAAATATGAATTCTTGGTAAATAAAAGGTAGTACCTCGTTCTAAAAACGAGCAATTAAAAAAGAGCGAGAACAAGCGACTAAGCACAAAAAAGCACTAGTACGATACTTGAACAATGCAACTGAAAGTAAAAAGACCATCATCGTCGAGGCAGGGAATGAGCGAGCAAGAAAGAAACCTGATGGAGGCGTGGTGGTGCCTCTGGGAAGGCGCGGAGGGCATTCCACATGGAGAGGATTCTTGCAACGTCTCTCTCCGATGTGGAAGTTGGTGTCCCCGTAGCACGAGAGCAGTTCCGGGTAGCCGTCCTCGCAGTGGTAGTAGAAGTAGCAGTACTTCGGGTGCGGGTGGTACGAGTCCGTATCATCTGGACACTGGAACGGACCCGACGGGGTCGTCGTCTCGTGTCGACCTAGACGCATTCGATCGTTTGCATCTACTTTCCGATCTGGTGCAATATTGGTCGTTGACGATGGTGGGGGTTCCCCGATTAATCCGAACCGAATCTCTTTCGTGACGCCAAGTTAACAGTTTCTTATAGCAGGACGATGGATTCTTGAAGACATAAAAGGAGACATTCGCATCATCAACATTTATCTCGTAATTTAACTTTTTAGTTAATATTTCCATTCATTCCTTCAAAGGCTGGGTTAATATCACTTGTTGCGGTGAGGATTGTTCTAGGAGGAAACTCAGCACGTCCGAAAGGGTTAATTTCAAAGCCGAGACGTTTACGTTTTAAAATATTTAAGCACAATTATCATTACAGTCCGTTAAAGCTTGTATTTTCTTTATCCTATTTGTTTTTGCCGTTCACTAGAATCTGTCTGCTTTCATTCCGTTAATCTTTCCAAAAATTGTTTTCAATAAGAGAAAGTTAATTTTACCGTAACGAGAGGGAAGGCAGCCGGATGGACCCTGGAGAGGGGAACATCGCTTGAGCAGCTGATGGAATTGGAGTCCTGGGTCGCATCGTCGAATGTGGGGTCTCCCGTCACGGCATTCCCAGTACAGGTCGCAGGATTCTCCTGCCCTCCACATCTCTCCGTCTCGGCATGCGAATCCGAGGATTCCTAGGGAATACGACTTCCCGTGTGTTAAGAAAAATGTGATTGCAAATTTTTTTGGTCTCGAGGAGGCTGACCTGGTAGAAGGAGAGCGAATCCAAGCCAAACTTGCATTGTGACACACAAAGCAGTCACTCATGAATCGTCATCTTTTTTGCGTCTGTTTCCAGTTTTCTTTATCTCCCACGGAGGAAGTTGCACTCATCGACACCAGAGTGCAAACACCGGAGTGCTCTTAAGGGAACATTTACTCACAATTCATCGGCTTTGGCGGTATCGACTCGTCGTTTCTTATTCTCTGAAGAAAACCACTCAACCCATCAAATCCCCCACTTCCACGAGAGCGAAGAAAACGAAATCTGGTTTCTTCCGAAATTTCGGAGAGTCAAACGAACACAACGGCCCCCGCGGATGGACCGCGATGTCACGAGAAACGCCTGTCCTCCACGCGGCGTGGGCGAGAGACCAAATGCACGGCGGCACTCGGCCGGGGTGAAGACGGCGGTGATGATGGATTTCGACTGCTGGACGATTGCAGGCACGGTGCGGTGCACGTTTTTTCGGAGTGCTCCATGGCCAAAAGTTCAGAGGAGTTAGCTCTGGTGACAGTGGCTTGGCGTGGGTGGAATGAGCCCTGGTGCAAGGAATGAAATGGGGCGCCCTGTCCGATTTCTATCATCGAGAGAGTTCACATTGTTAAAAATTGTAATTTAATTTAACAACCGTTCTCGGAGTCAAGTGTACCACGGTTGGTGGCACTCCGGATCGAAGACAGATCCGGGAATTTCTCTATAAACCTGAAACTTTCACAGAATAGGCATTGCGATGGGGGAAATCAAACGATGGTCTTCGTTTAAAAAAATCGACTTGAAACTTCTAGAGATATGGTTATCGATCTCAGGGGTAAAAAAGGTAGAAAGTTTTACAAAACACCGTAGACTTTGTCATGACTTTTACAGCCAGCGCGACGACAGAGATCGCCTTCGTTGCAGGACCTCCTCCTCCTGCTCGGCATTTCCGATCGTTTAGAGCAGTGCTTCCCAAACAGTGTGCCGCCAGTAAGGCTTAGGTGTGCCGTGAGATTTGAGTTGACAAAAAAAAACTAAAACTAAAAAAGCGTAAAAACAAGAGGAACGTCATCTCTCAGTGGAAAACGAGCTGAGTTGCACTTCCACGCCTCGTATCAAACTGCTGTTGTTCGGCGAAACAAGCACAAGTTTCCCATCGAAAGTAAGTAAATGGCTGGGTGTGCCGTGGAAAGTTCAAGTGTCCATATGAGTGCCGCAAAAAAAAAATATTGGGAACCACTGGTTTAGAGAACGCACAATCAACGAAGTACGGAGCGGATCGCTCTCAACTTCGGTGACCGTGAGGGAGGAAATGTTTTGGCAGGCAGCTGAAACATTCCTGGAACCGTGCTGATGAGAACGGAGATGCTCGAGAAGGCAGAAGAGTCCAATAGCTGTCGATATGTATTAATAATATGGGTCGACTTTCGTCGGGCAGAAACGTAGGAACGACTGCTCAAAACCGAGTCAACTGTACACCAACGGCTGCCCTGGATCAAGCTCTTCAAGACTATTTGTGTTTCTACACTTGTTCCGGGATTTCCCGATCTGGCGAGGAGCGAGATCGCCAGATCTAAAAAGAAACGGATACTCGCCAAGCGAAGTGGCTTCTTCCACGCTTTTGCCAAGCGAAGGCAAATAGCGAGACCGTCGAGTCGTTCTTGCGTCATCGTAATTTTCTCAAATGACTCTTGATGATATTTTGGATTTAGAAAAGGAGCGCTCCGCGGTTGCCACTGTCGCTGGTATCGAAATAAACAGTAAGCATACGATACGGAAGTGTGAAAGACTTGAAGAAAGAGCATGGTTTTCAATCATTAGCGGTTCGGATACTTCCTTCGCTATGGATTTCATTGAAACATCTGATTCTGGGCGAGCTCCGAGCGACTGTAGTTGGCCTGGGAGCGAGGGTGACAGGTCAGGGTCATATCGGTTCACCGGGTTTTCTCCAGCAGCCGTCAACTCGTCGTCGATAGCTGAAGTCGTGAAGCCCTGCAATGCACGATAAGACTCGGTGATGGGCGACCCGCGGCGCTTTTGCCATCTGAATTTTTCTTTTATTTGTGATCTGTCATCCGGAGTAGAGCGCACAAGAAATAATACATGGAAGTTACATTTCCGAAACAGCTGCAAATATCCCCTCACTCTCTTCTTGGTTAGTGTATCATTGCGCTCTGAGCGAGCGGCTTGCTTGGTGTATTGCTCAGTAAAAAGCGGAGAAAAAAATCGAAATGAGTTATTTGCATATCATTAGCATCTACTGTTTTAGTACCTGGTTTACTAAGCCAGGCTTTGAATTATTTTGGTACTCATTAGGCATAAATCTTGTAATTCAGGATTAAATAATAATAATAATAATACATGCGGCCCGCAGTCAAATAGGTTCCTCATCACTAGGGAGCGGATTTTTATGCGCTATTAAGTCCTTAAATATGCACATACATATGGGCTTAAAAATACCAAATATGAATGAATATGGGAAAATATGCAAAAACATGTTTTTCTTTTATGCACGAATTTTTCGGAAGAAGGAACTTGAATGTACATTACATGCCTCTACTGCGTATAGCTGGTCTATTCTTGTCACAGCCGGCGGCGAGGGCAGGAATTCGCCAATGGAGGGCTAAGGGAAACGAACTTAGAATTTCCTAAACTTCTCCAGAGGGATGGTGGTAGCGGATAAAGCAGGGTTTTGGGGGCTTCGCCATTCCAACCAGCGCATAACCACGGGTAGATTTTCATAGATTCCTCATGAAGATACATTTTCCTGGAAAACTCTCATTTGTTATCATAAAAATGGGCGAAATATGCATAATCGTGAACATATGTACGGAAATTGAGGCTTTTCTTGTGCTTCCTTCCTTCGTGCTTTTCTTTATAAAGGATTCCTCCCCTGCCAAGGTTAACCCCTTTTACCCTCGATACCAGCTTCCATTGCCGCTGACACTGTCTGACCTTGCTTCTTCTTTTCCTTTTGTGTAGCCGTGATTATCTTCACTTCATTCGATCGGTGATCGAACGGGTGCACACGAATGTGCCAGTCGTTTTCGTGCTGGGGTTCAAAATTGAGATTCTAATTTCACGTTTAATCATGGACGAGTTTGAAGAAGATTGTTATTAAAGAGAAATAAGTAGGTAAGTTGCTCAGAGACTTGCAATTTCTTGCACCAGTACCAGTCGACAAATTTCATTCCGTCCCATTCCGAGGGGGTCAAGTGGAACGATTTCCATTCAACTGTCTGCAGGCGGGTGAGTGACTCGTCGATGTTGGGCTCTTTCCCCAAAAGTATGTCGACATTCCCTGTGGTCGTGCGTTGCAGACACGGTGGAGAAGGGAACGACTCCATGAATTGAATTATTGTTAAAATGTTAGCGGGTCAATTCTTCGGAATGTGCGTAAATAAGACGAATGGAAAATCTGCAGCGTCTGACGAAAAGGTTTTATTCTGCAATATGTTAGGGAACAACTAAGGACACACTGTCCCGTGTGGACAGAGTTCCGGGTCAGGCCAATCGCATGCTCTGGCAGTTGCATTGAACCACTGGTCATCTGGACAGGACTGAAAATAGACGAATAAGCATTTTGCACTTGATCTTGTCCCAGAAAAAGGGGGAAATTCCATAATACAGAGAGAGTTCATTATTCCATAAATAATGAACTCTCTGCACAGGGCCGACATCAAGATGTAGAGCAAAACTGAGTGCATCACAGGGTTTTTTTATTTCTCATTCAGATTTAACCGATGGTTAAAGTAGGTCAAAACTTACTTTAACCATAGCTAGACTTTCTATTCCCAAAGAAGGCTGAAATATCCATGCCAGTGTCACTGATTGGGAAGTCTATGAAGACTATCTATTGAATCCTTTGATGATTCGAGACCGCTCAGATAAAGACCACCCAAACAAAATAGAAATGCAGTGGACTGAAGATCCCCTCTATCTTCCCCGATCGCTCTTTCGAAACTCCTCCATGAGTCGTCATGTACAGTATTATATCTCAAATCAAGGCGAACTCAGAGAATTTCCAACCGTAAGGAATTTGTCGTGACCGGCACGCGGAATTTCGAGCAAATACTTGTGCTTCAAGTTCCAACTTCCTTTAATTCTCTCTTTCATTGAATCAGAAAAGTTTGCGGAAAACGAAAATTGGAAAAAATATGCCCTGAAGGGTTTCAAATAAAAATTAACATTTTTTACTGAAATCATTACTAGGAGAACTACGTGCATACCAAGTTTCAGCCTCGTACCTTCGCTCTTTTTGTTAGTGGAAAAGTATCTCTGGAAAAACTGACAGTCAAAAGCGGTGCCCTGGGGTATGTACCATAAAACTTGAGAATTTTCTGAACTCATCATTACCTCGGATATTGGTGTGCCAAGTTTCAAATTTTTATTTCTGTACGATTCAGTGAACAGAAAAAAAAATTACTTGAAAATGTGACCCCCAAAAGAATGCCCCCAGGACATGCATCTGAAACTTGACATTTTTCCGGGACTGAGTGTCTCAGTAGGCACGGGTGACCCCAGGGTATGTACCTCCAAAGTCGGATTTTTTCTCAACTCTGCATCCCAATAGGTACTTGGTACCAAGTTTCAGATTTCTAACTTCTCTAGAACATGGTTAGAATTAGCGTCAGTCAGTCACGATCGTCTATGTATATTGGATACTAGCGAGTTTGTTAGTCACCTAGTGCGCCAGCTGCTTCGTTCCTATTTCTGCCCGATTCGCTAGGATATTAAAAATTCTTTGAAAACATAACGTCCCCAAGAAATATCCCCCCCAAAAAATNTCAGTCAGTCACGATCGTCTATATATATTAGACTAGCGGACGCGCCTTTGGCGCTCTGCGATCTAAGGCATCCGTTTTCGATGCTCACCCCTAGAAATGCGGTCAGACTCCTTTGCTCATGGGTTCAACTCTCGCACCTTTAAAGTAAAGCCTATTGAATCGGAACGGCTACGGCGATTTTTTTTCGACCCGTTTCACTGGAGAAAATGTAAGTTAAGTGGTGGCTTACTAATGCATATAGAGCATTCGTTTTCGAAGGCTCCCCTATTGACGCATTCAAACCCCTTGGTTGATGGGTTTGGCAATTCACGCGCCTTCGACGCTCGATCTTTAAAATAAATTTGTTTTAGAAAATGTTCTTAGAGACGTCATATGACTTCCAGAATGAGGATTACCAAGTGAAAATTCAGTGCGTCGTTTAGTGTTTCTATATTGAATTTACTTCCTGCCTGGGGTCGTCACACTCTTCCTTGCATCTAAATCACAAAACCATATATAGCTATGTTCGGGGACAAAAACTCTAAATAAGTGCCTACTTCCAACTCTTCCTAAGGTTACATGTAGTTGTCCGTGAGAAAATACGTCATTCATGAATGCAGCTTATGGCTGCGTTCCCGTTCCGTTGAAGTGTGAACATAGAAATGATGGAAAATCTTCCTTGCCGTTTCCCTGTTACAAAAATATATGAAACCAATTCGCATCCACAAGCCAGGGCCGTTTCTAGGCGCGTTGGCGCCCCTCCCTCCCCCTTTACCCCGCTTGCGCCCCGGGCGATCGCCCGCCCCTAGAAACGGCCCTGCCATAAACATACTGATACGCATCTACCTAGACTATGACATAGTAAGGCGTAGGACAAAGGCCTCGCGCCGCATGCTTAGGCAACAGATTGAGATAGGCCGAAAGGTTCCTCGATGTCAATGAGTCAAGATCGATGTAGGTCTGAGCATCCATCCAAGGGTTGGATATAAGCTTGTTGAATCATTCCCTTCAGGGCAAGTACCTCCAATGTCGAACTGTATTTGTAGTATATGCAAGCCAACAGCTATTTATTTACCATCCCGTTTCCTTTGAGGAGGAGTGTGTATGAGAGTAGTATTGGCCCAAGCGTCCATCCATGGGGTAGGCCTAGGCCTACGAAATTAGTCCCCCTTAATATTTGTCCCCAGGGCGTGTACACCCCACCCCCCCTCCCTTCCGAAGTCTAAATTCCTCTGGGGTGAACAACGTAGCAATAACACACACTCCCTTCAATGACTGAGGAAAGAACATGTTCATGAGAATGGTGTAGGCCTACACCTCCATCTGGGGTGGCTAGGCAGCAGACACATAAGCTCATTACTTCTGAGTTTCAAGGCGATAATTCCACTTCTATTATAGGGAACTTTATCGTTAATTATATATTCTGGCGAAGGGACTCTATGGGAGTCCCTTTTTCAAACTCTTCTAAAGGTTCCATACAGTTGTCTAATAAAAAACGCGTCGTTCCTTAAATGCAGCCCGTAGCTATACCTTCCTATTTCGTTGATGTGTGCATAGCATTGGAATAAGCGTCCATAAAGTGGATTGAACATAACCATCTTATATCGAAATGTGAATGGAACATCTTCCGTTGCCCTGCCAAAAAAAGAAATGAAACCCAAGGTACGCGTCAACTCGTGTCCTTCTCTTCACCAATGACCCAACGGCATAGGTCGAAGGCCTAGCGCGTCAGGCTAAGGCAGAAGGATTCTCGGTCAGATGGGCCGAGAAGTTCCTCGATGCGAATGGGTTGGGCAAGATTGGTGTAGACTTCTGTGTCTGTCCAAGGATTACCTATAGGCCTGCTAACTCAATCCCCTCAGGGCACGTACACGTACCTTCTATGTCGAACTTCGTCTGAAGTGTGGCATAACAACAGCTATTTCGTTTCCCCGCCTCTTCCCCGATAGAAAAAGTATGAGAGTATTAGCCTAAGCATCTATCCATGGGTTGGACCTAGGCCTGGGAAATCAGTCCCCCCCCCCTCCTCAGAAACGTGCCCCCAGGGTATGGACCCCCAAAGTTGGGCATTCGAAGTTTGACATTCTCTGGAGTCCACAACCTAACAGCTATTCACGTTCCTTCCGTTTTGTTGAAGGAAAGGTATTTCTGTGAATGGCTTAGGCCTAAGCGTCCGTCTGAGGGTTAGACCTAGGCTAACAAAATGAGACCCCCCTGGAATGAGCCCCCAGGGCACTTACCCCCAAAGTTGGAACTTTTCTGGAGTCAGCAATCTAATAGCTATTTGTGTACCAAGTTTCATCCTCTCATCATGTCTAGAACATGGTTAGAATTAGCGTCAGTCAGTCAGTCCGTCAGTCACGATCGTCAATATATATTAATTCTCTTTCAGATATAAAATTTCATAACTTAGTTTAACCATTAATATGGCCTGAAGTAGTTCATGGTTTATTGCCGATTTATTTATTTATTGTTTATTGCAGCAGGAAAAGGGGAACAATCTTCCGAAGAATGTCACCATTTAACAGAAATTAAAGGCTCTACCTTGTCCGTCGACGAGGAATCGAAGATTAGAGTCTCAATTCTCTAAAGCTTTCCTTTCTCAATTCTCTTTTCTTCTATTACTGAGATTGTAATATCCAGGAAAATGGCTCAAAATTGAGATTCTAATTTCATGTTTAATCATGGATGAATTTGAAGAAGATTGAAGAGAAACCAAAAGGTAAGTTGCTCAGAGACTTGTGATTTCTTGTCCACAAGAAATCACAAGTCCACAAATTTCATTTCGTCCCATTCCCAGGGGCCAAGTGGAACTATTTCCGTTCTTAGATGTGGATTTATGAGCTGAAAACAGTTAAGCTTTCCACTTTCTGCCCGTCTCCCTTAAATTCGAGGGTACGAGTAGTCCTTGCAGATGACCCCGTGGCATCGGCTGAGAAACCCTCCTAGAATATAATTGTCCCCCTCCCCCGATTGGAGACGCCACCGAATGAAGAATGCAATCCGCTCCTTTAGCGAAATCTCGGAAGGGCCACTTCTTCCATTCCATGGCGTCGTCAGGGCTTTAGTCGCTATTATAATTCTCACCCGGGGATCGTTAAAAGGGCAGTTGTAGTAGTAGTTGCAGCAACAGGGATGAGGAAGGAGCGTGTTGTCGGGGACACCCAAGCAGGGCCATGCGTCGCAATCCGGATTCTCCGTCGTCGCATTCGGGTCCTGCGTCGTCGTCGCATTCGGGTCCTGCGTCGTCGTCGCATTCGGGTCCTGCGTCGTCGTCGCATTCGGGTCCTTCGTCGTTGACGCGTTAGGATCCTGCGTTGTTGTTGTTGCCGTGGTCGAAGAACTCGTTACTATGAACACCAACCTCATCAATTGATTATCGGTAAAGGAAAAATAAAATTTTGCTCTTAATGGAAATCGATACTAAAGAAGAAAGGAAAACGAATCGACAAGATTCTTAGAAATTAGTACTATACAAAGTTTTTGGAACCTAGAGAACTTATTTTCATAAGATCTGAATGAGTAATCCGAGAGGTGAATGCCCAGTTGTGCCTTAAACATATTTAATTCCTCCGTCGTTTAATTAGTAGTTCGTTGTCTTCCCCTAATCAGGTTAGCTAAACCATGATGATCCGTGTGACGCATCAACATTGAGATATGTAGATATAAACATCGATACATCGATCAAGAAACGTTGAATGAATGTAGAATTGGAAGAAGTTATATTAGGTCGGTATGTAGAAAATTTTAAAATAGGTTATTTCTCTAAACGTAGATTTATCAACTTCTTGCCATACTTGCGAAACCTGTTTATGTACGATAGAAAGTGACTATCTCGGCCGTTCGACATACAATTAAAACCCTAACTCTTCTGCTGTACCTGTACAGTCTAAGGATCTGGAACTCTCGTGATGAACCTTTCCTTTGTGGTTAAAAATATTTTAACTTTTCTTCCAGAAAATATAGATAGAAAATAATTGAGTTCGTGTGTGATATTGTGCGAAATTGTAAAAAAAATTCACTTTGAACGGATATGAACATTTTTTAAATTGTGGTTTCCCCTCTTACATGATACGGGAATCCAGCGCAGGACAATTGGAAATATCTAGAATATTGCAGGTTTCTTTGACCTGGTGACCATTTGTTAGTGTTGCGTTTTTTTTTAAATACTGAAGTCTCCACTTTCATTTTCTGTGGAAGTTTCCCCAGAAACTGAATTCCTATCGTTCAGGGAAGTGGCCTCCTGAAGCGAGAACTTTCGGGAAGCAGTGCGTGTCACATTTATTAAAATCCGGATTAAGGGAAAAGTAAGGTATTGATCTTGAAACCCAGTAAGTAAGTAGCGGGACATGTACTTCTGCAAGGTGTATGTAATTAACACCCCTGCGGTTCCCTCGCTTCAAGTAGCGGGACCTTTCCCTGTTCTTGCAGAACTGGGAATTTTCCTACAAGTTATTCATTGCAATCCATGGCAATGCATTACTTTGACGATTCCTTCAGCTTTTCGATTTCGGCAGTCTGTGGCCACATTTATTAACAAAAAGAAATGTGTTTAAATGCGACATGTGCTCAACCCCTCATGGATACAGCATGGTTGATTTTGTCCAGATTCGTGAAAGAGGGATGGTCAAATTCTATGGAATATTGCCTAATCGTGTCCCATAATGAAACCAGTGCTGATCGATAGAGCACCTCAAGTAATCCATACGTGTCAATGGTTACACCGTGATCCGCTAGAGGGCGAAAAAATCAGGCAATATAGTTTGGCCGATTTCTACATATAAGGTATCAATACCTACTAAATCGGACCCGGGGAATCGGAGTGTCGCATATTGCTATATAACATACCATTCTCATCACTACCTATAACTCAACCACTGACCATTAAAAAGCTGGCTGTGATACAGATAGATGAACTTCAACCTCAGCCAGGGAGGACTTTGGGGGCCTCCCCACTAGGGGGCTTGTGATGAGTGGGTCTCCCCCGCCTGATGCACCTTCAACGTCCTCCTAACTCAGATTCCAGAAAATTCCCTCTGATGACCCAGTGCTGATTAAGTCGCTGCACCAAAACCCCTTTAAATACCATGTCTACGTACTAGTAGACATGGCGAAGAGCGGTGCCAAGCCATTGCTGAATATTGTTGTCAGTGCAAAAATGGCCTCAGAACTGTTGGGTGCTATGCGCATGTTATGGCAGTTTTGTGGTGCCTCGGATATGGCAAATACCCGGGATTCTATGTACACACCACATCACTGGATGATGTTAAATTTTTTTATAGCTTAGTTATTGACTTTCTCTTCTATGCACAGCTGGCTGTGATATCTTTCCGAAAATGTGGTTAGTTATACGGTTCTACGGGACCGATTTAGTAGGTTTAGACACCCTATAAGTCGAAATCGACCAACTTACGAGGTATATCGCCCGAATTTTTCGGCCCCCAAATGGATCGGGGTAACTTCGTATCGTGGTGTAGCAATTAACACTTTTTCACTACTTGAGATGCTCAATCGAATGGCACCGGTTTCATCGTGGGAAGCGATTAGGCGGAATTTTTTTAATTTGGTAATTCGTAGGAAATTTTTTTTAATTGCCTTTTTTTTGCCTCTAGCGACAAAACATTACGCCCTTTTTAAAATGTTGCCAGCAAAGGAATTGTTGTACTCAAAGAGACCAATCAGGTTATATATTGTATATTTCGCTGGGGAATCCTTTTGACACGATTTCCTTAACTCTTCAGTACCGTGGCATATAAATCCATTTACAATAGCCTGATTCCGGAGGAGATTGTGATTTAAATGTCTAGAAAGGATCTTTTTACTTAAACGGCCATAGCTTCTGTAGTTATTATTGGATTTGGATCTGGAATTTGAGTTTGAAGTTCCACCTTTCAGATGACACCATCAGATTTCAAATATTTAAAAAAATTCTCAACAGGAGACGTTCAGCAAGTTATCACTGCACTGATCGTACACTGTACGTCGGACGACCGCATATGACGCAGCAGCCGGTCGCATGTCGCACGAATATGAGCGGTTAATATTTGAGCATTATCCACCGCCTGGACGCACTTGAAGGACTTACGTTCCAATACGAAAGAGCCTAACTCTAATTGCAGAAATGAAGGAAATACTGGCAATGAGAATGTTTCATGAGGATCCATGTGCTCTTCCGAGTACAAGATAAGTCTTTACGCGACCAGCGAATCCTAGTGAAGAAACATCGTTGAAACATGATTGAAAACATAATTGAAATTGAACAGAATATTCTAATCGAAAAATGCTGATGAATCTGACTTCCAATGCCATTCTTTGTAAATATGTGTTTAGAAATTGACTACAAAGAACTATGCTCGCAGAAAGGTACCTCGCGAGCATAGGTTCTGGAAAATTTGGCAGAAATCTAAACCATTCTGTCTACAAATGAGGTTTCTTTATGGCATGGGGGACGAAAGGGGAATCGTCAGCAAAGCTCACGTAAAGCCTCAATGGAATTGTTAGCCAGAGAATGCCACGGCAGAAATAGTTCCAGTGTCCTTGGCCTACCCTATACAACTGAAATGAGGACTTGAATGAAAGACACACACACAGAGAGGGAGAGAGAGATGGAGTGGGAAAAGAACCTGTGGGAGGTGTGGTGGTAGCTCTGGGAAGGCGAGGAGGGCATTTCACGAGGAGAGGGTCCTTGCACCTTTTCTCGATGGTGTCGAAGTTGGTGTCCCCGTAGCACGAGAGCAGTTCCGGGTAGCCGTCCTCGCAGTGGTAGTAGAGGTAGCAGTACTTCGGGTGCTCGTAGTACGCTTCGTCATCGTCTGGACACTGGAACGGACCTGACGGGGTCGTCGATGTCGTCTCCTGCCGCCCTAGACACATCCAATCGTCCAATTCCACCTTCTATCCAATGCTCTTTGTTGGTGATGATGTACAATTGGCGCAAACAAATTTCCTTACATTAAAGATTCTGTAGCGGGCTCTTGGAAAATTCTTAGAAAGATGATTGTATTCTAATTTTCAAATCAATTCGTTTATATTAACATTTTGCCTTTAGCCGAAGGAATTATTATTATTATTTGGCATTTAATCATGTGATGTGGCGCATATGATGTGGTGTTCGAAACTACAGAACTCCGAACGTCTCCATTTGAGACTAAACCCTGATGTAAGAACTTTTTGAGGTTTTCAGCTGACCCATTTGAGTTGAAGGAAACTATGCTAGGAATCAGAATTTTCTCTCTCTAGTAACACAAGATACTCCAGCAACATTTAGGAAATGTTGATGAACAATGTAGCTTCTATGTATAAATGTATAAACATCAACGTTGCTTGAATGTTGCAAAGAAACATTGCATTAATGTTGCAAATCGTTACTTATTCATTACACATATGTTGCAGAAACGTTTCATGACTTGTGTTGCTGCAAAACGTTGCCTCACTGGCACCTAATTTGGACCTATATTGGCATTGCTACCCAGAAGCATAGGCTTCATTGGCTCTGAACTGGACCGATATTCTGCCAATATTGAATTATTTCATTCACAATTTCGTATCATATGCTTGACCTCCTTGCCCAGACGTTCCCATCAACAGGACGATTCTTGTACTAGTACGTGTAACCCCTGCCCATGCATAAAACAGTATCTGTATCATGCATAGGCAGGAGACATAATACACTTTGGTGGGTATTCTTCCCCTACTAAATGTAGCACATTTCAAGGAAAAATCCACCTGCAATGTTCTATGGAGTGTCCGCGAATGCAGCCCATTATTTCCTCATCCTGTTCTCACGATGAGGAAATAATGGGTTCACTTCAAATGCTTTTTTTTTCACTCTCCTGTTNTGACAGCATCTGGTGTTGACCTTCCGGGCATGTTTGTCAGCAAATCGAGATCCCTCCTTCTTGGACAAATCTCGGTAGCATCCAGTGCATCTTTTCCTCGAGACAGCCTTGGGACCAGCAAGTTCTTCCAGAGTGTGTCGGGTCGGGTCATTGACAAGAGCCGTCTGGGTGAGCAAGTGGAAGAATAAACGAATGTACCATTTGCTCGTCTTCCTGACGTAGGAAATGGCATGGCGGGAATATATGTTACAACCCAATACTAAATGTAGCACATTTCAAGGAAAAATCCACCTGCAATGTTCTATGGAGTGTCCGCGAATGCAGCCCTTCATTTCCTCATCCTGTTCTCACGATGAGGAAATAATGGGTTCACTTCAAATGCTTTTTTTTTCACTCTCCTGTTAGATGCAATTGCTGAGATCTTGGAAAGGGTTCTTTTTGGGAACTTGAGTTTGTTTTTGGCCTGGGCTCCATGAATCTGTGTCGAATATGAAGATAACAAATGATGAAGTTTCCGTATTCGTTGATTCCTATAAGGAGACTAGGCGAGACGTATGGCAAGGCACTAAACATTCCTGTGAGGGACGATTCCAGGGAAAGGGAGAAAGGCTCGTTTGTGTACTGTAAGGAAAGCGAGACTTTCTCCATCTCGTGGCATGGAGGACAACTTTGCAATTCCCTAAAAACTTCTAAAACTTCTAAGAATGTTGTCACTACGTTGTCAATGTCAAGAGTGTCACCGTTCTTTCAATATTGATAGCTAATGTTGCAATAACATTTATAGAAATGTCTTAGCAACATTCCAAATGCTCAAAAGTGAAAAATTTTGAAGCACTGTTGTTCATCAACTTGCAACATAGAGCAACATTGGCAACATTTCGGAAACGTTTCATCAACATACTGTGTTACTTGGGCTCGTAGCACCAGGCCCATTTTAGTATTAGACATGATATCCCTCTTTCGAAAACAATAATACTGTACATTACTGTAGACGGTGGAAGTCTTTCCTCCGTACTCAAGAGGTTCCTAATTTTAACTTCAAAGGTAATCTCATTGCTATCATCATTCCGTCTATTAAGTTGGATAATTCTTCACTCGTAATGATACTGCTCCGCTTACCGAAACCGCCGTGGGAAGGAAGACAGCCGGATAGGTCCTGGAGAGGGGAACATCGCTTGAGCAGCTGATGGAATTGGAGTCCTGAGTCGCATTGTCGAATGTGGGGTCTCCCGTCCCGGCATTCCCAGAACAAGTCGCAGGAGTCACCTACCATCCACATGTCGCCGTCTCGGCATGCGAGTCCATGAATCACTGCGCAACGGCGACTTTCATTACAGCAGCGAAAATGATGAATTGACGTTAGTATCGGTTGAATGAGCATACCTGGAAAGAGGAGGATGAGTCCGACCCAGACTTGCATGGTTAGAGGGGAAGCGAAGAAGCACTTGTGAATCCTCATCTTTTTGCGGCCTCAGCTTTAAGTCTGCTTTATCTGTTCGTGGAAGAAAGGCACTTTCATTTTCCGCCATTAAGAGGTCGCGTTCTTAGGGAATATTTGCGAACCATTTTTTTTTCTGGCGGATGTGGCGGTATCGATTCATCTTTATTTACCTCATACATTTCCTGTAGATATGGAGCAAAAAAAAATTGGTTGAAAGGGCAGTCGGCTTCGAAATGAGCTTTTTTTATGGATTAGACCTCTCCACCTTGCATGGTGATCATGCCAAGTCATCAAATTCCATTTTTGTTATCTTTTAGGTGGAGTTCTATATTTCCTATCTCCCTCTACTCGCACACCGACGTTTGGAAGGAATACTTCATTTCTTTCCCTTTTCCATGCGAGAACGTCAATGAGGGAAACCCTTGCACATTAATAACGACAGTTCCATGGTTTTAAAAGGGTTCAAGATTATAACCACCGAGGCTAATTAGCGTCAAGCATGGAGCTTAGCGTTAAGCAGAGGTCCGAGACCGGAAAGTAAAACAGTATAGCCAAGAAGTATTCTGGTACATTTTGAAGATTAGTCAATTATATTCAGTTCATCTGGCCACCGAAGTCGCGGAAAAACGTTCAAGAGAAAACGTTCAATCTGTGCTCAGAGGGATTTGGAAAGTTCAATATTCATGAGCGTTCAATTAAAGTGCTTTGTGTTACTTGGACAGGGCGGCGAAAAACTCATCGGGCATTTACTCAAACAAACAAGGTTCCGACAACAGAGACAGACAACAACATCTAAGTCTGATGTCTGCTAGGCCTAACCTACGGAGTGTCTTCAGGCCTAGGCCTAACTCTTTCGTTCAAATGAATCTCAACCCTCGACTTACGGGGCCAATTAGGCTTAATGGGGTCAATCTCGGAGTTTTTGAGGCCTCTCTCTCTCTCTGGGGATGAGTAAAGTTTGACATTAGGCCTACACCGTTTCCTGATTGAATTGGTAGTAGGAAACGAAGAAAGCAATACTTCCAGAGGTTCCGCTTCAAGTGATCCGCAAAACCGTCCATGTGGAAGATGTCACTAACTGGATTCGATGGGAGCGCTTCTATATGGGATGCCATTATAATCCGGAAACAGTGCGTCTGACGTTCACGAACCGTTTCGGAGAAGGTGGGTGTATCGTTAGACCGATTATGGGCCCGTACCATGAGCCATTTCAGTGAGAATGAGTTATGTTAGGCCTATCTGGAACTTTTCGGACCATCTCGGCGAGGTCTGTGGACAGACTGCCTCCGAAATTCAAATGCATGTTGGACGGCATCATCAGCAGGGATGTTCATGCGTGGTGTGTCCATATCCCACCACATCGATCGGTCACCGCTAACCACTCCTTACTACTGCTTCTATTCAGTCTTCATCCCATGAACTCAGAGCAAAATTGTATCATGCTTTCATGATCTGCATTAAGTGGATATGTTTGTCTACCAATTGTATATTGTTGTACTCATGCTTTTCCCCAAATGTTTAGCCCAGGTCAAGCAAGTGTATTTCCTTGGTTGACGCGAGATGCGCCTCTTGCGCCACGTAATCCATCAATAGGCTTTGGTAGCGCCTATTACATTTCTTCAATCCCTTCCCGCAGCAAAAATCAACCTCCTCGTATTCCTCTCTGAGAGCATCAATAATAACGAAATTTGGCGTACTTCTTCCTCTCTCACCACAGAATCGCTCCAGCTAAGTTGAAGTTCCATCTCCCTGGGGTTATGGAGAACACTGAATCTCGTTTTTGGAGGGTTTGAATTTCATTCCGTTTTTTTTTTCTCCTTCCCCCCCCCCCCCCCCCCCCCCCCCCCCCCCCCNTTTTTTTTTTCTCCTCCCCCCCCCCCCCCCCCCCCCCCCCCCCCCCCCCTTTTCGGTAAACACTCAGCCACTCCTGGGGGGTTTACGGAGGTAAGAGACCAACCATAAGAAAGATATTGACTATGAAGATGACGAAAAGTGGCTTTTCTGTTGTTTGCGATGCATCATTTCGCATTAAAAAAATGAAATTAACTGTCTTTCCATTAGGCTTAAAGTGCTTGCTCCGGTGCCGTCCCCCAGTGTTGCCGGATACCGAGCCGAAATTATGCCAGATTCAAGACTGTTTCAACCTTCGTATCAGCGTCTGGATCTTCTGTTATTTTATTAATGAGACATTTTTGTTTTGAGTTCATGAGTTGAGCTGAGAATGAAGCAGTGGTTAGCAGTTATTGATCGATGTGGTGGGATAAGCAGGTATCTTATCTGGACATCCCTGAATTAACCGGAAGGTACGCGGTACCATGGATTGCATGCTTCTTGAAGGCATTCTCTTCTCAGGCCTATTCGAGATGGCTCCAGGAATTCCAGATAGGCCTAACGTTACACGTCCTCAACCAGATGTCTCGAAGACCATGATTCACCCTTGGAGTGCTAATTGGTGGTAAGTCGAGAATAATGTTTCTTTTGAAAAGAAAAAGGTAGGCGTTGGCGTGACCTGAAGGCAGTCTGTTGGTTAGGCCTAGACCTAACGTTAGTGAGTCCCTTAGGGAGGTTGAAGAAAGGGATAATTCGTTTTCACATTACTATCCCAATACGATTGGTCACTGTTTCAATGCCCATAACTGATGTTCGGAAACTTGGATGATTCCACCCTCGTAGCTGTATTCGGGAATGTCCTCCACTTTATATTGGAAGGAGTTGTTTAGGAATCATTCACCAAGAAACAGTGCACATCGCCTAAGGAGGTAGAGCCTGCTGAGCCCGACTAGCCCCAGCATGACCCAAGACTGCATTGCCAATCAAGGGAAATGAGTTGCATTATCTTTTATCTAGTGCCGAATTCCCGAGGTAGAGTCTCTCTCGCAGGCTTCGTCTAATCGGCCCTACTGAGCGCATTGGTTTCTGCAAACTAGTACGCTGTTCGCCTGAGGTCCATCCAGGGCTCTCATCTGCCTGATCTCTGACAATGGGAAGCCCGCTTAACTGAGTAGACATTACTACGGCTTGGGTACTGCCCCTTGTTCCCCCTGACAGCCTTAGCGCGTAATTGATCTCCACTGTACGAGGTGTGACTATAAAGTAGTGAGACTGCTTTTATAAGAAACATACCTGTACTAGTACATCTTAATGAGCTTTGTCCCCTTCAAAATAGTCACCTTGGGGAAGCTTTACACTTGGACCAACGATGCTGTCTCTGTTTAAAACATTTGTGGAACTCTTCTTTCGGAATCACCTTCAGAGTCTTTCTTTCTTTAGAATGTCCTCAATGCTGACAGATCTTTGTCCTTTCGAAACGCCTTTCAGTTTTGGAAAGAGCAGAAGTCATTCGGAGCCAGGTCCGGAAATAAGGTGGAAGATCAAGCTGGATTATGTCTTTTTGTGCCAAAAACTGTTTTACTGAAAGCGCACTGCGAGCTGGCGCATTATCACGGTAAAGGCCCAAAGCCTCCCGCGAGGGAGAGTCTTCATTTTGCTTCATATAGTTCTCCCCTTTCGCTGACAAAATTCTGATCACCGCATTAAATGATTCGGGTACCTTTGGTGGTCAACCAATTCATGGTAGATAGATGACGCCTCCGGTGACCTTGTGAACCTCACGAACTTCGAAACCGAACCTTGAAAACTAATTAGAGTTATTTCTTCCAGCGCTGGCGCCCGTGTGGCCCTTCACCCGCCTCTTTACTCTTTCGAAGTGTGATCTCACGACCATTTCTTTCATACATCGGATTCTTTTTTCCTTTTCTTTTTCTGGGACATGGGCCACTTCCTAGACTTGGCTTAGCTTATCATCGAAGGCAAATATACGAGGGCTGTTGATACAGTTCTAAGACAAGGACAATGCGTCGTGCGATAGCAGTCATGCTGCATACTGTAGAATGACGGACGGCATACGGTCGTTACATTGGCAAACTGACTAGTAATTAATACCGTGCAAGAGTTGCACCAAACTCAAGCTTGCCATTACACCTTTTTGCTCTTCGCTGCAATGAGTGTTTCCTAATGGGATGAAACAACGTCGCGTGATTCACTATTGCCCAAGGCCTAGATTGACTTCGATCAGTTCTCTAGCCGAAATGGCTCTTACGTTTGGAGATGATTGCCCATCGAAGGTCACAGTGTCAGGAGGCATAGGCGCTTTCGGGAAGGACGCGGGTCGGTCGCAGATGACGTTCAAGCCAACTGGTTGCTTCATGAATACTCTGATGCAAGAGAGTTTTTCCCTTCCCGCGCTTGAACTCGGATTGGCGGCTCGACAAGTTTGATGACTCCTTTCTTCGTGTTGTTCGACGATTCAAAGTGCATTGAAAATCAGTGGCAAGCGACAATCGATCGATTTCATTCACCATCGTTAAGGTTGAAGATCAAAAGATCGCAGTAGGGCTCCCCATCTGGACACTCTTGTCCGAATATGTTGCAGCTTTCTGATGTTTCGTTGAACGATGTGCCGTCTGGACAGCGCTAAAAGGAGAATCGAAGACGGTTTTTGCAATCTCGAAAAGTGCGAAAACCCTTGTATAGAATGCCATGAAGAGGCATGATATGACTATGGTTCACATTTCCGGGAACCATTACCATAGAAAAAGTTGAGAATTTCATTTCCGATCTCCGTTGAAAAGATCATACTACTATTTGAGTAACAGCAGTTATAATTTCTTTCTCTTTCATAATAGTTATATGATATTGTTCAACTTCACGGAAAACACCACCTCCCTTTTCTATCCATATATTTAGAACAATTTTTCTTGACAATCCATTTTATTTGATGGAAAGTCAAGAGTTTCTGAGTTCACAGAGTTGAAACTGTGCGGGTGATTCGTAGTCATTCAGTCGTAGCTCGCTTCGTAGCCTAGGCAACGATGCAATGGTAGGACTGCTGTTTCGACCTAATTGATAATTAATTAATCGATTAACGCTTTCACAACGGTAAAACAAAAATCAATCAAAATTTAAAAGATTGTTTTCGACCTCCGAAGACCACTTGAATGTTTCTAATCCAAATTCATTATATGCATCTTAAAAAGAGCCAGCGAAACTCAT